TAAATATTTAATTTTTTAATTGCTCTTGTATAATCAGATGCCCCTTTTAGTATTATTTTAGAAGGGAGGGTTTTGCCTAAAATACAATTTATTGGGGAAAACTAGATTTTAGTTTTATAAAACTTTTAAGTCTTTCATGGGACCTATATTTTCTTGAATTAAATTTTGTAGTTCTAGAATAAATAGGTGATCTAAAAGGTGTTGTCTGTGTTACATAAAAGACAGAGGCTTCCTTTTATTTTAACCTACTAAGCAGTCAGAGATTCCCATCGCTAAGCACAAAGGCACTGAATCCTCAAGACTGTCTTCATAGAGAAGCACTGTGTCCCTGCAGTTTGGGAATGCTTCCTGCTTACAGGCACCAGAGCCACACAAAACCCACGCATCTGCGCCATAGGAAATACTGCTGGGAAGATGCTGCTCCCTGGAGCAAGAGCTCGTAGCAGGCACTCATCTGTGAGCCGCCCATGCTGCTGGGACTGGGGCCCCCCCACTCTGGAGGGCAGCACAGAGCTGCCACCACAGAACTGGCATGAATTGGACATTTTATAGGAATTTATACAGATACTGGTTCTCAGAAGCCACACAACTATGGTCCACAAAATAAAATGTGTTGGAAACCTCTGTGTATGAGAAATATACTGTTGAACTTTTTTTTAAAAAAAAGATGATTGAATCTGAACAGTAGTCGATTCTATCTCAAATGCTAGTGTTTTCCTTGGTGGCAGATCTTTTGAGAGGAAGTAACCTAAACATCATGCCCTTGAAGTCATCCTTGAAAAGATTTATATTCATAGAGAATACCAAGGACTAGAAAGCCCGTACAATTCATACAATCCCAGAAAGAACTTGAAAGTATTTTTAGGAGTGCTCCATATGCTCCTACAGCCCAGCCACCTGGGTGTCTGTCTCAGGGACTGTTCTGCCCCTTTCCTTAGAGGCACAGAATCGTCTGGGATGTTGAGTGAACAAGTGACTTTAAATGTGCGTATGGGGCTGATTCACTGAAGACTATTTCAGAGGGGAGGCAGGAAGATAAATGGGACTTGGTTTTGCAACATACCTTCCCAGGTTTTCTTTTAAATCTTGACCGTTCTATTTCCCATGTCTGAGCTATGTCCCAGCAAGAGGGATGAGAGAAGACTAGTAACTTGAAAATCCTGTGAGTCAGTTGATTTGAGTTCTTGACAAAGTCTGTGGAGAACATGTTAAAATTCAGTGAACAATTAATATGTAATTGTTTTGACTTGCTGGTAGCTGATACTTTAAAACTTCACATTGAAGTGTTCATCTTGGTATACTGATAAATCTGTGAACCTTATATAGTGGCATCCGAAAGTATAGTCTTATTTAGAATGCACAGGGTTAGTGAACACAGCCTGATGCAGCGAAGGAATATTTAAGTGTGGCTGGTTATGTTGGGGCATTGTGTTTAAGAAAAGCTTAAATATTGTGTAAGCAATAATGTACCTATTCTTGGCTCAGTATTTTAGAGAAACTTTGTAGTCTTCTAAGTTCCGCATGCTTTATAATGAATAAATGTGTTTTAAATTATTCTGATTATAGATGCATGAGCCAGCCGTTTTCAGTCTGACTTTAGCATTGCCTATAACAGTTATGTTGAGTTCTAAATCTCCATTTTATTCTGTAGAGATGAGAATAATGGCTATATCTTATTTTTGGAAGTAACAAAACAGACATGGACGTTTCAGGTGCCCAACTGGAGGTGTGCGCACACACGTGCATCTCCTTGGGCTACTCATTTCCACATACCTCCGCATCTAGTTTAGACAGTTGCATAGACAGTTCACTTTCATTAGTCATTTATACCTCATTAAGAACCCAGGTATGAATCATGTAGTTATTAAACATGACTGGGGTCACGAGGAAAATCTAAAGTTCTGGTAAAATGGGATGGGACTGTTTTTACCTTTGTCTATATTCCCTATCTTGAATAAGATGAAGGGTGAGTGGATGGTAACAGACTGTCATCAAGTAGAAAGCAGTGGTCGTGGGCCTCCAGAATTGCTGGAGTCTGCATCTTGCTGTGGATGCCAATTCTGTTGCTCTGGTCAGTAGGGCTGTGAGGTCCTTTTCTCTGTATGATGTATATTTCAGTTTTCAATATCCAACTTTGAATATACAGTTGATGTTTTGGTTTATTGTAAGTTGGGCTACATAGTTCCAAGACCAGCCTGAACTACACAGTGAGACTGTCTCAAAGCACAAAAAATCAACAAAAGTGATCTAGCTTGGATTTCTGTTATATGCATATGTACTTTTATAAAATTACAAAAACTTATAAGCATTGGATATCAGCATCACATACCAGCTTTTAACGACAAGAAAGCCTGTATCTTCATAAAATTCTGTTCTAGGGGTAGGGTATTATCCAAAGTATATCTAAAGGACAAAATTATCCCCAAATACAAAATTTTACATTGCAACTTAACAATGTGTACCAAGAAACACTTAAATCCAACTTTTCTAAGACTTCAAGAAAATATCCTGATGGGCTGGGGTGGTAACTCTGGTTTAAGTACCTGCCTGGTAAGTGCAAGGTACTGGGTTCAATCCCTAGTATCACATACTGTGCTGGCCCTGGAACTTGGTATGTCATTCTGGCCACCGAAACTCAGCATGGTGGTACAGTCCTGTACTTCCCACATCTGGAGAAGCTGAAACAGGATCACTGTGAGTCTGAACGGCATAGTGAGACTCTGTAGCAAATAAAATAATCTGAAAAGTATGTTAAAATTGTCTGGTCAACAAAAATACATAAATGAAAGGAAAATTAATGACAGCCAATTCAATAAAGTGACTCAGGCATTTAAAAATAAAGGCACAAAGGGGCTGGAGAGATGGCTCAGTGGTCTAAAGCACCTATTTGGAACAAGCTTGGAAAAGCACAGGGACCGCGGTTCGATCCCCCAGCACCACATGCCAGCCAGTCGCGCCCCCTGGTGGGCTGAGCTGGCCACGCATACACACACTAAATGTTAAAAAAAAGCACAGGGGCCGGGGAGATGGCTCAGTAGGATAAGCGCTTGACTGGCAAATGCAAGGATCTGAGTTCAATCCCCAGTTCTGCAAAAAATAAAAATAAAAAAAATAAAAATAAAGGCACAATAGTATTGATAATGCTTGTAAATATTACAATGATGTAAAATAAGATGCTACATATAAAAAAGACTTAAAAATATACCCCCATCAAACTTTAAACTGATATGTACAGGTACAAATTTCCCATGATGAATGTCATGTATGGCTAACGTGCTAATAAAAGCAATTTTTAAATTTAGACTATGAAGAAAGAGCGATTGCTTTTCAAGGAATTCTGGGTGATTTTTCAAAATTGATTTCTCTGATTTTTTTTTATGGTGAATACAGTTTTTCAGATGAAAAACCAATATACTTTGCATTTTTAATTGTCTGGCCAATATAGTCTCAGCAGTAAAGTAACAAAATCTAAATAAGTGTAAGGCATAGCCACAAACTGAAGTCACTTAACATACAGGATTGGAATGGCAGCTATGTGAAAATATGAAGTTGAAGGTTTTCCCCTCTAAAGATGAGTTAAGATGATATAACTCCTGGGCGTGTAATCCCAGCAGTTTGAGGTAGGTGGACTGCTTGGCCCAGCAGTTGGTAACCTGGGTAACGTAACAAGACCTTGTTTCCAAAGAGAAAAAAAGGTGTGGATATGTGTATGTGTATAATGGATGGACATTAATGGAAACAACATATATACACATTCACCAAAAATGCTAGCTAATGTGTTGCTTGGATTTTCCAGAGTCACACTATATATATTCTTTTTTCTGAATTAATACAATTGTTGCAGAGTCAAGGTCTTCAAAAGTTTTCACACAGGTACTGTTTTTTGAGTTGTCAGGTTCAATTTTTCATTGGAGAGAAAGACCTGGAACCAAGAGGCAAGCATATTTCAAACCAGCAACTTTATTTGGCAAGCCATTTCTTTTTGGTACCTGGGATCAAACTCAGGACCTTGCACTTGCCAGGCAGGCACCTATACCTCTGAGTTATCTCCCCAGCTCTGGTGGGCCATTTCTAAAAGGAGCAACCTGTTACCAGATTTAGTTTCTTTAGCCTAAAGCCAGTTATAGATGTTGTTCCTGCTAAGTCGAGTGTGTGTGTCATGCTGTGGATAGAATTTAGGGCTGCTGAGGTATTAGGTGAGCTCTCTGCCACAGAATCACACCCCAACCTACCCCCCTTATTTCTTTTTAATTATATTGGTACACTTGATACACAATGATCATGTTCATTGTAGGGAATTTGCACCTGCATATGAGATAGCTCAATTCTTTTTGCCCCTTTCCCCTCCTTTCAACCTTATTTACAAAACCTTTTTTTTCAAGTGTTGTTTTTCACCTCTCAGATACTAAAGGTTCAACCCAGGGTCTTGGCCTTGAGCTGTATCGGGGTGGCACAGCCCTGGGTTCTTGGGGACCCAGACCACTCCACCAGCTTGCCAGAGTGCAGTGACTGCGGGCAGGGGTCCTGTACCCAGCTCATAGCAACTTTGAATTCCTACACTATCAGAAGCAAGCATGCTTGTCATCCACCTGTAGCTCTGCCAACAGCAACTACAGGGCCTTCTCCCCGTAGCAGGGCAATTCAGCGCAGCCAGCCACTCCAGCCCTGCCTGTGTCTCTGCTCCTGTCCTTCCAGCCTATGCTAGAACTTGCTGCAGCAACCTTCTCTCCTCCATCTTCCCTACTAACAGATGAGTCTGCTGTGTATTCCCTCGCCTTAGAATGCCGTTTGGTAATTTCCAGTTATCCCTCTCAAAATGGCAACACATCTTTAAAGAATTGTGCGTATTCAGTGTCCAGTTTCTGTCCTCTTGTTTTCTCTGGTACTCACACAGTCTGAGACATGCACCACTTCACCAAAGCTGTTCATGGCAAAATCGCCAGCGGCCACCATGACAACCTCTGGTGGATGAACCTCATCCACAACTCACTTGAGCCAGGGCCGTAGCGCAGAGGACATCAGCAGCCCTGCTCTCCTAGCCTCTCTGCCCAGTTCCCCCTCATTCTCCTGAGCTCTGAAGTTCTTCAATGCTACTTTACTGTGGCCCCTAGTTTTCTGTCATCCCCATCCAGTGATAATTTTAGGCTCCTTCTATAAGCTGATGATTACCAAGTTTCTGGACTCTGGACTAGATTCTTCACTAGACTCCAGGCTCTAAAGTGGCTTACTTCGTTTTGCCACTTCTAACATATACCCCAGAGTAGGACTCCGAGCTTCCCCTACAAAAAATGTTACTCTTCAATAAAAAAATTAAAAAGGCTAGAGAGCTGGCTCAGTAGTCCAGGCGCCTGCCTGGCAAGGGGCAGTGACCCGGGTTCCATCCCCAGTACCACATGCTGTGCTGGCCCTGCTGCAGACTGGCCCCATAAACTGGGGGTGGTGGTGCCTGCCTGTGTAATGCCAGCACTGGGGAGGCTGCAACAGGAGGATCATTACGAGTCAGAGCTGCGCAGTGAGACCCTGTACCAAAGACATTAAGAATAAATAAAAAGATGGCACTCCCCTCCTCAGCAGATGTGTCCACTTCCTTGCCCCAGGAAAGATCAAGGGGTCTTTGCAGATGTGATTAAGATAAGGGTCAACAAGAACTCACCACGGACCATTCAAATTTGAGCCACAAGATGGGCTTGAAACTCAACAAAAACATCTACACCGGTAGGTGCAAATACTCCCACTCGTGCCCTACTGAGATCCACTAACCTAGCGAATCTTGTGGCAAAGGAGTAAGAAGGATGGGAAAAGTCATATACTCAGATTTTTCATTTATTTCCATTCCTTTAGGTCTGAATTACAATTTCAGAATCCGTGCAATAAAAATCATGTTATTCTATGAGTAACTTAATAAAAACAATATAAGGCTATTTCTGAGCCCACAAATATAATTAAATTATATTGTTTTGGCTATCTGACAAACTTTCTGTGACTCATGTCCAGACATAGAGACACAAGCCGGTTTTCTCCAAGCCTGGGTGGGATGCTAGGCTGCATGAAGCCGGATGTGGTGCAGAGATTTTTCATCTTTCAGTATAAACTAGAAACTAAAATAATTATGTATTCTATCTGGGAGAGGACGACAGAATAAAATGCTTACTTACAGGAATTATTTGGGTTGAGAACCTTCAAGAGGACCAAGGTAAATTCACCAGCATGAAATGAAAATAAATCATTAGCACATCTTTGCAGTTGTGAGAAATGAATTTGTGCAGAGCTCGTGGAGAAAGCAGACGATGATCCATGCAAGCAGTGGGTTCATGGAGTAGCACAGTGCTCCACCTCTTCTGCAGCATCAGCCTGAGAGGCACATGCGCATACGCATAAATACGGCGGCAGAGTAGAGCAGGTTGGGGTCAGGGGTCTCCCAGGGCAGAGCCCAGGGCCGCTGTAGTTCTAAATTGCTCAAAAAAATGCAGAAACAAAAGAGCCTCAAGTTACAGTGAAATTTTTGGCACTTTCATCTTGGCTTTGGCAACATTTTAATGCAACACATTTTATTTAGCATAGTCAGCCAGCATTCAGCTCACAAAGTTCTCAGAGGACAGAAAGTGCATCTTTCCCCACCGAAAACAGAACATATGTTATTGATGCAAATCTCTTACACCTGCATGGCGGATACCACTTACAGGGGTGCCTTCAGGTCGGCGAGAGGAGGGAAGTGAGCGGGGAGAGGCTCTTGTCCCTGGCCTCTCAGGGACACGGGTCTCCAGAGGTGTTTCCTCCGCAAACAGCCTCGTCAACATCATTGCTTCCCGTCTGACCTTCCATTTCCCCACAGTAGGCCTACGCCCTTCATCTTTCTTCTTCAAAAGTCCTGCTTTTATC